GGATCTGTCTCACTATCTCCCACGCACGGGATCTGTCTCACTATCTCCCACGCACAGAATCTGTCTCACTATCTCCCACGCACGGGATCTGTCTCACTGTCTCCCACGCACGCGATCTGTCTCACTGTCTCCCACGCACGGGATCTGTCTCACTATCTCCCACGCACGGGATCTGTCTCACTATCTCTCACGCACGGGATCTGTCTCACTATCTCTCACGCACGGGATCTGTCTCACTATCTCCCACGCACGGGATCTGTCTCACTATCTCCCACGCACGGGATCTGTCTCACTATCTCCCACGCACGGGATCTGTCTCACTATCTCCCACGCACGGGATCTGTCTCACTATCTCCCACGCACGCGATCTGTCTCACTGTCTCCCACGCACGGGATCTGTCTCACTGTCTCCCACGCACGGGATCTGTCTCACTGTCTCCCACGCACGGAATCTGTCTCACTATCTCCCACGCACGGGATCTGTCTCACTATCTCCCACGCACAGAATCTGTCTCACTCTCTCCCATGCACGGAATCTGTCTCACTATCTCTCACGCACGGGATCTGTCTCACTATCTCTCACACACGGGATCTGATAGACATGACAAAGTATTCAAGGGCTTGGCCTCCAAATTCCCCAGATCTAAATTAGATCGAGCATCTGTGGGATGTGTTGAAACAACAAACTTGATCCATGGTGGCCCCACCTCGCAACTTGCAGGACTTAGAGGATCTGCTGCTAATATCTTCGTGACAGATACCACAGGACACTTTCAGAGGTCTTGTGGCATCCATGTCTCGACATATCAGAGCTGTTTTGGCAGAATGAGGGGAACCTGCAATATACAAAGTTCATTCTGATTTCACACTGATCCCAGTCTGTGATGTGATGTCACTCTGCTCTCTGTGAATGACAGTGTCTGTATTTTCATGTCTGTATGACTGTCTCTGTATGACCGTGTCTGTATGACAGTGCCTGTATGTCTCTGTATGACCATGTCTGTCTCTGTATGACTGCCCCTGTATGACCATGTCTGCGTGTCTCTGTATGTCTGTGTCTGTATGACCGTGCCTGTATGACCATGCCTGTCTGTGTCTGTTTAACCATGCCTGTCTGTCTCTGTATGTCTGTGTCTGTATGACAGTACCTGTATGTCTCTGTATGTCTGTCCCTGTATGTCTCTGTATGACCATGTCTGTCTGTGTCTGTTTAACCATGCCTGTCTGTCTCTGTATGTCAGTGTCTGTATGACTGTCCCTCTATGTCTCTGTATGACCATGTCTGCCTGTCTCTTTATGACTGTCCCTGTATGTCTCTGTATGACCATGTCTGTGTCTGTATGACTGTCCCTGTATGTGTCTTTATGACCATGTCTGTCAGTCTCTGTATGACCATGTCTGTGTCTGTATGACAGTACCTGTATGTCTCTGTATGACTGTCCCTGTATGACCATGTCTGTCTGTATCTGTTTGACCATGCCTGTCTGTCTCTGTATGTCTGTGTCTGTATGACAGTACCTGTATGTCTCTGTATGTCTGTCCCTGTATGTCTCTGTATGACCATGTCTGTCTGTGTCTGTTTAACCATGCCTGTCTGTCTCTGTATGTCAGTGTCTGTATGACTGTCCCTCTATGTCTCTGTATGACCATGTCTGCCTGTCTCTTTATGACTGTCCCTGTATGTCTCTGTATGACCATGTCTGTGTCTGTATGACTGTCCCTGTATGTGTCTTTATGACCATGTCTGTCAGTCTCTGTATGACCATGTCTGTGTCTGTATGACAGTACCTGTATGACCATGTCTGTCTGTATCTGTTTGACCATGCCTGTCTGTCTCTGTGTGTCTGTGTCTGTATGACCATGTCTGTGTCTGTATGACTGTCCCTGTATGTCTCTGTATGACCATGTCTGTCTCTGTATGACTGTCCCTGTATGTCTCTGTATGACCATGTCTGTCTCTGTATGACTGTCCCTGTATGTCTCTGTATGACCATGTCTATGTCTGTATGACTGTCCCTGTATGTCTCTGTATGACCATGTCTGTCTCTGTATGACTGTCCCTGTATGTCTCTGTATGACCATGTCTGTCTCTGTATGACTGTCCCTGTATGTCTCTGTATGACCATGTCTGTCTCTGTATGACTGTCCCTGTATGTCTCTGTATGTCCATGTCTGTCTCTGTATGACTGTCCCTGTATGTCTCTGTATGACCATGTCTGTCTCTGTATGACTGTCCCTGTATGTCTCTGTATGACCATGTCTGTCTCTTTATGACTGTTCCTGTATGTCTCTGTATGACCATGTCTGTCTCTGGATGACTGTCCCTGTATGTCTCTGTATGACCATGTCTGTCTCTGTATGACTGTCCCTGTATGTCTCTGTATGACCATGTCTGTCTCTGTATGACTGTCCCTGTATGTCTCTGTATGACCATGTCTGTCTCTGTATGACTGTCCCTGTATGTCTCTGTATGACCATGTCTGTCTCTGTATGACTGTCCCTGTATGTCTCTGTATGACCATGTCTGTCTCTGTATGACTGTCCCTGTATGTCTCTGTATGACCATGTCTGTCTCTGTATGACTGTGCCTATATGTCTCTGTATGACCATGTCTGTCTCTGTATGACTGTCCCTGTATGTCTCTGTATGACCATGTCTGTCTCTGTATGACTGTCCCTGTATGTCTCTGTATGACCATGTCTGTCTCTGTATGACTGTGCCTGTATGTCTCTGTATGACCATGTCTGTCTCTTTATGACTGTCCCTGTATGTCTCTGTATGACCATGTCTGTCTCTGTATGACTGTCCCTGTATGTCTCTGTATGACCATGTCTGTCTCTGTATGACTGTCCCTGTATGTCTCTGTATGACCATGTCTGTCTCTTTATGACTGTCCCTGTATGTCTCTGTATGACCATGTCTGTCTCTGTATGACTGTGCCTATATGTCTGTGTATTGTAAAGGTAGAGAGTATATGCACACACTATCCGGATAGTTCTTCCATCAGGATGCCACAAACCCAAGAAAGATTCAAGAGAATAATGTAGATCAGGGCACACCTGGTGGTTTATTCAGTAGGCAGCTGTATTATAAAGTGCAGAACAAAAACAAAGTTTAGGCTGAAACGTTGTTTTTGTTCTTCACTTTATAACAAACCTGCCTACTGAATAAACCACCAGGTGTGCCCTGATCTACATTGTTCTATTGTATATGTCTGTGTATGACTGTGTCTGTGTGTCTGTGTTTAACTGTGTCTGTATGTCTGTGTATGACTGTGTGTCTTTGTTTAACTGTGTCTATGTCTGTGTATGACTGTGTCTCTGTGTCTGATTGTGTATTACAATCTCTGTATGTCTGTATCACTGTGTCTGCATATCACTGTATGTCTGTGTATGACAGTGTCAGTATGTCTCTATGTGTCTCTGTATGACTCTTTTTCCGTATCTGTATGTCTCTATGCGTGTCTGTATGACTGTGTCTGTATGACAGTGTGCCTGTATTACTGTGTCTGTTTGGTTATGTGCCTTTTAGGTGTCACAGTATCATTGTGACTGTGTACCTGAATAACTATGTCTGTGTGCCTTTATGGTTGTGTGTCTGTGTGTTTTTGCTTTGTGCATGTATGTCTTTGCCTGTGTATCTTTGATACACAGTCTGTATGGCTGGGGAGGAAAAAGACACACAAAGGGACTGAGGGAGAAGAGACACAGATAAGCATATAAGCAAGGTATTAGACCATTTTTAATTTTCTATATTTTGTCTGCTGTGTGTGTCCTCAGTTGTATTTGTGCAGCGAATAAAAGGTAGTTTTTCGAGCTTAGGATGGTTAAAAAATAAATACATTTAAAAATGCATATATTTTTGCTTTAATGCCTTAATCATATGCATTGAAATATAAATTTTATTAAACAGTGTTTCACTTAATATCGGCATTCCTGAAACAAAGAAATCTCTTGTTCTTCAATAATTAAATTTTTTATAAAAGTCTTTGTAACGGAGCTCCCTGTACTCCAGCTGGGTACCTCCGCCAAAGGACCGCTTCCTAGCTGGAACAGGGGACAAACCGCAGCACTTCTGCCACACTCGCCGTGGCTTGACTAGGGTCCTGGAACCGCTCCCTCCTGGTGCCGAATGGGGAATCCGCTCTAGACACCCCCAGGCACTGGACAACACTCAGTCCTAGGAGCTCTAGTCCTTACAAGGACTTTCCCCATTGAATCCTACATGCTGGAACAAGCTGGAACAGTGATTAGCCCTTTCCCCTCCCAGTAACCAGACGACACAAAGTTCTGGGAGTACAAGGTGGAATCCTTTAATGGCAGCCACAGACCCCCACAAATGTTACATGCCCTGATAGCCCTGATCTGGGTGACCAACATATTCAAAAATCACCCGGATCATTTCAGGGGTTCAAGAATTTCCTTGAAGTCATAATTTGACCACATGGTCCCCTGCCGAAAATAGTTCCATGGAATCGCTGCTAAGTGCCACTGGGGACGGACCGCAAAGTCTTCATGACAAAAATAGTTCCAGGGCTTTCGTGGCTAAGTCCACCTGAAGTTTATTTGCGGTTTTGAGCGATGCGAACGGCTTCCAGGGAGCTAGCGTTCGGTTCTATGTGTACGAATGGTAAGTGCCGAACCAGGGGAAATAAAAGATTGGTCTTTACAGTCGCTGACCTGCCCATAGTCGGTGGGCAGGGGACTGGCAAGCAGGCACCTCCAGTAGCTCGTGGCAAACTCACGAGGACAGGGGAGTTTGTCACAGTCTTCTTTTTATAATCTTGCTCAAGACAGCTTTATTGAGGACGTACTGCATACATTACTAAAGTTTTATTATACAACATATCTGTTGCCAATAAGAAACCTTTCTTTTTGGTTTTGTGAATTCTCTATTTCTTTATTTAGAAAGAGTAACAAAATGAAAAATCCAATTAGGCAATTAGAAGATATGTATAACAGCAAGGAGTGGGAAGGACAGAAAGAGAAGTTTATTTAGGGAAGAATGAGTGAGAAAGAGGATAAATTTAGATTTATGTTGTGATAAGTTGTGCGTGTTGGCAATGCTTTTATTCATTTAAAGCTGCTTAATAAACAGCATACAAGATGTACCAAGTAGGGCCAGAAATTCAGACTCATGTCCCTGCCATCTATCGTTATCACAGAACAACAATTTTCTATTTGCAATTAAGGGAACACTTTAGTACCAGGAAAACAAACTTGTTTTCCTGGCACTATATAGTCTTTAGGTCCCTCCCACCCTCAGGGCCCCCATCCCACTGGGCTGAAGGGGTTTAAACCCCTTTAGCCACTTATCTTTATCCAGCGCCGGGCTCCCTGGGCACTGGTGACCTCTCCTCCGCCGTCAGCTGCCAAGTGGAGCTGAATGCGCATCTGCGGCCAGAGCTGTGCGCGCATTAAAAACGCCCATAGGAAAGTATTACTTAATGTTTTCCTATGGACGTTCTGTGTACTCAATGCGATTTTCGCATTGAGCGTTGCGGAAGCGCCTCTAGCGGCTGTCAGGAAGACAGCCACTAAGGCTGGATTAACCCTCAGTGAAACATAGCAGTTTCTCTGAAACTGCTCAGTTTTCAGCTGCAGGGTTAAAACTAGAGGGACCTGGCACCCAGACCACTTCATCGAGCTGAAGTGGTCTGGCTGCCTATAGTGGTCCTTTAAAACACGCACAACTCACTATTTCAAGAGTAAAATCACTGACATTTACACGTACACAGGTTAGGCCACGGCAGCCTTTTTTTGTAATAAAAATATCTCCCCCGACAGACTCAGTCCATTGCTGTCAGACACCTTCCATCTGTGACTGAGTTTATGACTAGTCAATCCGTGGGGACCGGTGTGTATTGAGAGGGACGGCAAACTCAGGAACCGCCCCAGGCAGGAAAAGCTCCGCCACTGGGCAGGTGGTTTTAATGTTGCGGCTGATCTGTGTATTTTGTCTTCGCCCTATATGAAAAAAATTATATTTTTCTGTTTGTCTGCAGGTGTGTGGGATTGGGACTCCCCATGACTGTGATCGTGTGTTGTATATGAATGGAGCTTGTTACAAACTCACCTCCAACCTGACTGTGTCTGCGCAGCTGCAACCAGGATATCGAGGTAAATAATGGTAATGACGGTAACTGACAATAAATGAGTGTAAATAACGGTAAATGGTGATAAATAACGGTAACTGACAGTAAATCACGGTAACTGACTAAATGATGGTAAATAACAGTAAATCACGGTCAATAATGGTAACTGACAGTAAATAACGGTAAATAATGGTAACTGAGGGTAAATAACGGCAAATCACTGTTAATAATGGTAAGTTAGTGTAAATAACGGTAACTGAGTGTAAATGACGGCAAATCACGGTAAATAATGGTAACTGAGGGTCAATAACGGTAACTGACTAAATTACAGTAAGTAACAGTAAATTGCGGGAAAATAACGGTAACTGCCGGTAAATAACGGTAACTGTGAATAAATAATGGTAACTGAGGGTAAATAATGGTAACTGACAGTAAATAACGGTAACTGTGAATAAATAATGGTAACTGACAGTAAATAACGGTAACTGATGGTAAATCACAGTAACTGACAGTAAATAACAGTAAATTGCGAGAAAACAAGGGAAACTGACGGTAAATAACGACAATTGAAGATAAATAACGGTAAACAATGGTATTTGATGGTAAATCACTGTAACTGACGGTAAATAACGGTAACTGACGGTAAATAACGGTAACTGAGGGTCAATAACGGTAAAGCACGGGCAATAACGGTAACTGACGGTAAATAACGGTAACTGACTGTAGCGGATGGTATTACGGCTGTCCTAAAAGACTGTGTTAAAAATGCAATTCGTGCGTTTATTTTCCTGTATAGCTAAAAGTGTATGTAGTATTCGTATGATTGTTCGGTAGTTTCCATCCGTATTCCATACGAATAAAAAAACTACCGAACCAGTAGACCACCCCAGAGAGAAGTGTGCACCTTATTAGGCTTGCACACTTCTCTAACCACAAGTTAATTGATATGATCGGTACTTTGTGCATGTTTCTGGGCATCTAACGCACGAAAACCTCAGCGGTGTTTGGTCGTCGAGTGTCTGGAACTCAAATCGGACACTCAATTACCCGAACACCGCTGAGACCTCCAGAGCTCCGTAACTCCCGAACGGAAGGGCTAATCAGCCCCTCGTTCGGTGAGTTAAAATTACCGAACAAAGGTATTCATGCGAATACAGTTTTAATAGTGGATGTCATGTATTTCTGTGTATTTTACATACCGAACGGAGACCGACCGCAGGGCCAAAACACATGGAACCCTTTTCGGCTACCACCCGGTTAGTCTACCCTTGGGGGGGAGATATGTGGCAAACGCCCTGTGGTCTGGCCGTTTGCCACGAGCTCCTGGAGGAGCCTGCTTGCCAGCCTGCTACCTCAGGACTATGGGCCCTGCAATATACCTTGCCCAATGCACTTTGCAGGCTCCGTTCATGTAATTTATGTACTTTTGTACTCCAGAAAGAGAGACCGACCGTTAGCCCTGATTTCCTGGAACTGTTTTGGACATAGGACCATGTGCACGGTCGGTCAAAATTATGACTTCCATAGAAATCCCAACCCCTGAACCGACCTGGGTGATTTTTGGATATGTTGGTCACCCAGATTGGGGCTATCGGGGGTTGTAACTTTTGTGGGGCTTTTTTTAATGTGTTTTGGGGGTATTTCCGGGGTTTTGTTATATTGCCTGTTTCTGTACTGAGAGATAATTAAATTATATGTTTGTGTGCTAAGGTAATTATATCTCAGGTACAGGGGAGGAGTATGATGGATGTTTGCTTGTATCTCGTCTCCTCTCAGGTCCAGGGGGAGGGATTATCATGTTTTGTGTGGGCGTGTTTACGGTGTCCCTGTGTTGTACAAAAGCAGGCCATTGAGCCTGGATTAAACACATTTGTTTTACCCCTTCATGAAGTCTAGGCTCATGTTTTGGGGGATCGGAGAGCTCTAATCCCTACTCTGCTGGAAGCAGGAGAGTTATAATCACTGTAGCACTTGGGGTTCGGGAGACTACTAACGGATATACTCAGCCGGACGGTAAATAACGGTAACGACTAACTGACAGTAAATAATGGTAACAGACGGTAAATAACAGTAACTGAGTAAATGATGGTAAATAACAGTAACTGACGTTAAATAAAGGTAAATGGCAGTAAAGAACGGTAGTAAATAATAAAGTAACTGACAGTAAATAATGGTAAATAATGGTAAGTGGAGGTAACTGATGGTAAATAACTGTAAAATTACAGTTAATAATGGTAAATGATGGTAATCATGATAAATGATAATGATAGTGAATTATGATAAATGATGGTAAGAGATGGTAAATGGTGCTAAATTATAATAAATTGTGGTAAATGATAATTAATGATAAATTATGATAAATGATGATAACAAGCTCCAGCTGCCTTTGTAACCATGAATTTACACCTTAATAAACCATATAATAACGTCATCTTTTACCCAACTTCTCTGACTGCTTATTAGTGACCCCATATCTCACCCACAGACTGCCAGAAAGCTGATGTGGACCTTTGCTTTCTGGTTGATGGTTCCTCTGGGATGGGCGAAAGAGAGTTTGCAGCTATCCGGGAATTCATGATCAGCACCATGAGAAGCCATAATTCAAGCAATATCAACGTGAGTGGAGGAAGAAAAGTGTGGGAGGGGGTGAAAGGATCTGAAGAAGGATGCTATGTGTGGAGAGCTTGAGGTAGGTCTGCAGTGTACCTGCACCTACAGTTGCAAGAAAAAGTATGTGAACCCTTTGGAATGATATGGATTTCTGCACAAATTGGTCATAAAATGTGATCTGATCATCATCTAAGTCACAACAACAGACAATCACAGTCTGCTTAAACTAATACACACAGAATGAAATGTTGCCATGTTTTTATTGAACACACCATGTAAACATTCACAGTGCACGTGGAAAAAGTATGTGAACCCCTAGACTAATAACATCTCCAAGAGCTAATTGGAGTGAGATGTCAGCCAACTGGAGTCCAATCAATGAGATGAGATTGGAGGTGTTGGTTTACAGCTGCCCTGCCCTATAAAAAATCTTGGCCCGTCCCAAGATTAGATTGCCTGCACAAGTTCATTGCCGTTCAGACCACATACCCACTGGGAGCTGCTTCTGACCACACACCAACTGGGAGCTGATGGAGTGACTGTCCGTTTGTTACAACTATCATTACCTTTACCTTCGTTTAGAGCATCATCTGATTACAACTCTTATTGGGTACACCAAGAAAAAGATTTCTACATTTGGTGAGATCTATCCATATATAGTTATATATAGTGCACTATATTGGACTACCAGGACTCTCAGATTGTTTTGATTATTTTTTCTTTTTTTCATTTTTTCTTTTTTCATTTTTTCCATCCCTTTGTCTCTTCTTATTTCCCCTTTCCTTTTTTCTGCTTTGGATTGGGGATTTTTTCATTATTTTTCATTTTTTGCATTTTTTTCATTTTTTCATGTGTTTCGTTTTTTCAGTTTTTTCATCATTTTTTCAATGAATCATTACCAAGTGTATACACATTAGATGAACTTTATCCAATGTATAGAATATTCTGTATATACTGTATATATTGTATATATTCAATGTATATAATTGGTGTACTCAGGATGATATGAACATTTCTATTATCATACTTCATATAACTTTATTTAGAATAAACATTATGAATTTTTCACAGCAATAATAACTAGTATCAATTATTACTATTAGAGTGCGGTATTCATTATATAGTTTTTAGGATTGTTATTTGGAGGTTGTCTTTGGGGTTAACCTCGAATACCGGCACCTAGATGTAATTGAGTGCCAGCACACGTTGTAATTTTTTCTTTTATTTTTTCTATAAAAAACACACACCAGTTCTGGGTTTGCTTTTCACAAGAAGCATTGCCTGATGTGAATGATGCCTCGCACAAAAGAGCTCTCAGAAGACCTACGATTAAGAATTGTTGACTTGCATAAAGCTGGAAAGGGTTATAAAAGTATCTCCAAAAGCCTTGCTGTTCATCAGTCCACGGTAAGACAAATTGTCCATAAATGGAGAAAGTTCAGCACTGCTGCTACTCTCCCTAGGAGAGGCCATCCTGTAAAGATGACTGCAAGAGCACAGCGCAGACTGCTCAATGAGGTGAAGAAGAATCCTAGAGTGTCAGCTAAAGACTTACAAAAGTCACTGGCAAATGCTAACATCCCTGTTAGCGAATCTACAATATGTAAAACACTAAACAAGAATGGATTTCATGGGAGGATACCACAGAGGAAGCCACTGCTGTCCAAACAAAACATTGCTGCACGTTTACAGTTTGCACAAGAGCACCTGGATGTTCCACAGCAGTACTGGCAAAATATTCTGTGGACAGATGAAACCAAAGTTGAGTTGTTTGGAAGAAACACACAACACTATGTGTGGCGAAAAAAAGGCACAGCACACCAACATCAAAACCTCATCCCAACTGTGAAGTATAGTGGTGGGGGCATAGAAAAATAGAATGTGACGACAGATAAGAACCATTCGGCCCATCTAGTCTGCCCAATTTTCTAAATACTTTCATTAGTCCCTGGCCTTATCTTATAGTTAGGATAGCCTTATGCCTATCCCACGCATGCTTAAACTCCTTTACTGTGTTAACCTCTACCACTTCAGCTGGAAGGCTATTCCATGCATCCACTACCCTCTCAGTAAAGTAATACTTCCTGATATTATTTTTAAACCTTTTGTCCCTCTAATTTAAGACTATGTCCTCTTGTTGTGGTAGTTTTTCTTCTTTTAAATATAGTCTCCTCCTTTACTGTGTTGATTCCTTTATATATTTAAATGTTTCTATCATATCCCCCCTGTCTCGTCTTTCCTCCAAGCTATACATGTTAAGATCCTTTAACCTTTCCTGGTAAGTTTTATCCTGCAATCCATAAACCAGTTTAGTAGCCCTTCTCTGAACTCTCTCTCAATATCCTTCTGAAGATACGGTCTCCAGTACTGCGTACAATACTCCAAGTGAGGTCTCACCAGTGTTCTGTACAATGGCATGAGCACTTCCCTCTTTCTACTGCTAATACCTCTCCCTATACAACCAAGCATTCTGCTAGCATTTCCTGCTGCTCTATTACATTGTCAGCCTACATTTAAGTCAAATAATCACCCCTAAATCCCTTTCCTCAGATGTTGAGGTTAGGACTCTATCAAATATGCTGTACTCTGCCCTTGGGTTTTTACGTCCAAGATGCATTATCTTGCACTTATCCACATTAAATGTCAGTTGACACAAGTCTGACCATTTTTCTATTTACCTAAATCATTTGCCATTTGGCTTATCCCTCCTGGAACATCAACCCTGTTACATATCTTAGTATCATCGGCAAAAAGACATACCTTACCATCCACACCTTCTGCAGTATCACTAATAAAAATATTAAAGAGAATGGGTCCAAGTACAGATGATCTGCATCATGGTTTGGGGCTGCTTTGGAAAAATTAATTCCCAAGTTTATCAAGACATTTTGCAGGAGAACTTAAGGCCATCTGTCTACCAGCTAAAGCTCAACAGAAGATGGGTGTTGCAACAGGACAATGACCCAAAGCATAGAAGTAAATCAACAACAGAATGGCTTAAACAGAAGAAAATACGCCTTCTGAAGTGGCCCAGTCAGAGTCCTGACCTCAACCCGATTGAGATGCTGTGGCATGACCTCAAGAAAGCGATTCACACCAGACATCCCAAGAATATTGCTGAACTGAAACAGTTCTGTAAAGAGGAATGGTCAAGAATTACTCCTGACCATTGTGCACGTCTGATCTGCAACTACAGGAAATGTTTGGTTGAAGTTATTGCTGCCAAAGGAGGTTCAACCAGTTATTAAATCCAAGGGTTCACATACTCCACCTGCACTGTGAATGTTTACATGGTGTGTTCAATAAAAACATGGCAACATTTCATTCTTTGTGTGTTATAAGTTTAAGCAGACTGTGATTGTCTATTGTTGTGATTTAGATGATGATCAGATCACATTTTATGACCAATTTGTGCAGCAATCCATATCATTCCAAAGGGTTCACATACTTTTTCTTGCAACTGTATCTACACTGAGGACCTACCTGCACCTATCTACACTAAGAACCTACCAGGAGCCTCAGTGTAGATAGCTGCAGGTAGGTCCCCAGTGTAGATAGCTGCAGGAAGGTCCTCAGTGTAAATAGCTGCAGGAAGGTCCTCAGTGTAAATAGCTGCAGGAAGGTCCTCAGTGTAAATAGCTACAGGAAGGTCCTCAGTGTAAATAGCTACAGGAAGGTCCTCAGTGTAGATAGATGCAGGTAGGTTCTTAGTGTAGATAGCAGGAGGGAGGTCCTCAGTGTAGATAGCTGTAGTTAGGTCCTTAGAACACTAAGGTAGGTTCTTCATGTAGATCGCTGCAGGTAGGTCCTTAGTGTAGATCGCTGCAGGTAGGTCCTTTGTATAGATAGCTGCAGGTAAGTCCTTAGTGTAAATAGCTGCAGGTAGGTCCTCAGTGTATATAGGTACAGGTAGGTACTCAGTGCTATGTGGAGAAGTACAGTTAATGCTGGGTTAGGGGAGATTGCTGGGTATGGGCACCCAGGTATGAAGGCAGATATTAGAAGAGATTTCTGCAGTATTCATCCAGGGATAAAAGCGGGTATTAGGGGAGATTGCTGGGTATTGGCACCCAGGGATGAGAGCGGGTATTAGGGGAGATTGCTGGGTATGGGCACCCAGGAATGACAGCGAGTATTGGGGGAGATTGCTGGGTATAGGCACCCAGTGATGACCGTGGGTAATAGGGGAGAGTGCTGAGGATGGGCACCCAGTGATGACAGCGGGTACTAGGGGAGATTGCTGGGTATGGGCATCCACTGATGACAGCAGGTATTAGGGGAGATTGCTTGGTATGGGCACCCAGTGATGACAGGGGGTATTAGGGGAGATTGCTGGGTATGGGCATCCACTGATGACAGCAGGTATTAGGGGAAATTGCTTGGTATGGGCACCCAGTGATGACAGGGGGTATTAGGGGAGATTGCTGGGGATGGGCACCCAGGGATGACAGTGGGTATTAGGGGAGAGTGCTCGGGATGGGCACCCAGGGAAGACAGCGGGTATTAGGGGAGAGTGCTGGGGATGGGCACCCAGGGATGACAGCAGGTATTAGGGGAGATTGATGGGGATGGGCACCCAGGGATGACAGTGGGTATAAGGGGAGATTGATGGGGATGGGCACCCAGGGATGACAGTGGGTATAAGGGGAGATTGATGGGGATGGGCACCCAGGGATGACAGTGGGTATAAGGGGAGATTGATGGGGATGGGCACCCAGGGATGACAGCGGGCATTAGGGGAGAGTGCTGGGGATGGGCACCCAGGGATGACCGTGGGTATAAGGGGAGATTGATGGGGATGGGCACCCAGGGATGACAGCGGGTATTAGGGGAGAGTGCTGGGGATGGGCACCCAGGGAAGACCGTGGGTATAAGGGGAGATTGATGGGGATGGGCACCCAAGGATGACCGTGGGTATTAGGGGAAAGTGCTGGGTATGGGCACCCAGGGATGACCGTGGGTATAAGGGGAGATTGATGGGTATGGGCACCCAGGGATGACCGTGGGTATAAGGGGAAAGTGCTGGGTATGGGCACCCAGGGATGACCGTGGGTATAAGGGGAGATTGATGGGGATGGGCACCCAGGGAAGACCGTGGGTATAAGGGGAGATTGATGGGGATGGGCACCCAGGGATGACCGTGGGTATTAGGGGAAAGTGCTGGGTATGGGCACCCAGGGATGACCGTGGGTATAAGGGGAGATGGATGGGGATGGTATGTTTGTTTCCAAGCCTCACACGCTAACCCCATGTGTACCCGCATTTCTCCTCTCACGCAGTTCGCTGCTGTACAGTTCTCAAATAAAGCAGAGGTAGCGTTTACCTTCGCAAGATTTCAAACGTCTCGAGATCCTAAGAACCTGCTGGATTCGTTAGAAAAAAAAGGTGGTCTGACGTCTGCGTACAGCGCCATTCGTGTCGCTCTGTGAGTAAATCCAACTGATCCAGGGATAAAGGAGTGTGTTCTTTCTGTTCTTATTTGCTGTGTATTTGTTCCACCCTGATAACCACGCAGCTTTTTTCATAGTTTGGTTATAGCGATACATTAGGCTGCGTAGTGACTATGGTGGATGTATCATCACTTTGATAATGCCTGACAGAGGGCGGAGCTTCAGTCACACTTCCATTCCTTTGTCAATGCTTACCTCCTCCTGGCGCCATGTCTCAGAGGGAGTCGCCGAGCAATGAGGAATCACAGAAGACGTAGCGTCCATTCAGTGACAGATTGATTGACAGACTTTGAGATGCCTTAAGTATCAGGTCCCTCTTCTAATACAGAGTAATAGTCCTCTTATCTGTTGCTATCACAGGGGTGGATCCAAAACTAATCTCGAGAGGGGCACTGGTAGATCATTTAAAGAAACAATCCAGGCACAAAACCACTACAGCTCTCTTTAGTGGTTATGGTGCCAGGAGTGCCGTGCCGCCCTCTGAGAGTAAGTTGCCCAACCATTTAAGAACAGTTTGAATGGGCAATGTATGAATGGGGGGTTGTGTGTGAATGGGGGTGTGTATGGGGGGTAGTGTGTGTGAGGGGCAGTGTGTAAATGGCAGTGTGTAAATGGGATGGTAGTCTGTTTGTGTTGGGGCAGCGTGTGAATGGCGTGTAGTGTGTGTGGGGTGCAGTGTGTGTGTGGGGACAATGTGTGAATGGGGGGGGCACTGTTTGAGTGTTTATGGGGGTATTGTGTGTTGGGAGGGGGCTGATTAAAATAAATAAAAATTTTGAAAAAAAATAAAATGTACATTGTTTATATCCGCCCTCCATTCTTACCTTTGCCCAAGGAGCGGGAATATCTATTGTGAAGCCCTGGTGGTCCGGTGGAGAATCCCTGGCGGTCCTAGACGTGAGAGTGAACTCAAACAGCTCCTGAGGCTACAATTCACTCTCACGTGAACAGAGCGTAGCCATGGTAACCACGGCAACACTCTGAGCTCGTGAGAGGAGACCCAGCGGAGCCGCAGATTAGAGCTCTCGGGTCCTCTCTCCCTCCCCTGCCGGCTGCCAACAGTGATTTCCCCTCCAGTCTGTGAAAGCACACAGCAGAGCCCGCGCTTGGATAGCGCTAGCCCTCCATGGACCCGCAGAGGAGGGCAATGGAGAGGGAGCGCCTGGACAATGCGCTATCAAAGAATAGAAAAGGTGCTGCAACTTTCAAAGGGTTTAACCTCTTATTCCTGACAGAAAATGAATTAAGAGATATGTATCAGCTAATAAAACCCAACACAAATTACATTTGGGCATAAGAATTAATTGAAATTTAAAAGGAATCAAATATTTTATTGTGGAGCCTAATTAATGTTAATTTTAATAACTAATAAGCTGTCCGTCTCTCACACAGACAGCTAATTTCAATTGATAGCTGTGTGTAATGTGTTAAAGGGACATGGTAGCCACCGTAACCCCTTTGTGGCAAAACTAGCCACTTAAGAACTTTATGTGTGTGAAATGTTTCATTTTTCATTTCTTTCCCCTTATATTACATGTATCGGTATAGAGCATTCGTGTGCTTGCAGCATATGAACACCACCTGCGTTCCGCTTGGAATTCCACAAACAGTGATTTTCAAACACTGTTCGTGAAACGAACAAACTGCCAAATGGGAGACCACACAACGGGGGTCGTGTGTCTCCCATTAACTACTGCAACAATGTATTGCCAGTTGATTAATGGATTAAGTGGGTGGCCGCCGTTCGTATACCGAACACATGGCGGCAGCCATCTTTGTTCACAAAAGCACAGTGGTGTTTGGTCGTCGAGTGCCTGGAACCAAAATCGGCTACTCAACTTACCGAACACAGCTGGACTTCCAGAGCGTTCGGGACAATAATTATTTCGGTATATGAACACTCTCAGTGTATTTAACGGTTACAATGGTTGTTCGTGAAATCAGGTCATTCGAATGGCGTTCGTCTGAATATGAAGGGATCTGAACGGTATTTCCCCAGATGGTGAGCTCAGATCCCAGCTATTCAACAAAAGGTCATTCGGTTCATTTACTCTAATACTTTTTAAGTTATAGAATTTAATGTGAAACTGTAACTTGGGCTGTATGGAGAGATCGAGTGATTATTAGTATATTCTTATCACTCATCTCTCCAGTGTAACAATGTATGCTGGGAAATCGTCTTGTAACTTAAGTTTCCCATGTAGTCCACTGTTGTTAAACCCTTGCAAAGGCACTTTGGAAACCCCCTATATGGGGAACTGTATAAATGCTGTGACCTGTAATTAAAACCACAGTTGACCTCCAAGCTATGTGTCGTCTAGATCGTGGGAGGAAGGGATTCTTACTACGCTACCTGTGTTTTACCTGCTTAGCCTGACTACCAGCGGAGATATCGTGGATTAACCCCTACTACTCTGCTACACCCTTCATTTCATTGAAGTGGTTATAGTGTCTGGAGTCCAATCCTTCCATTAAACAATTTTAATGTATTATTGCTAAACGAGAGTCCTCGGCATCCTCTCTGTGCTGCTCAGACTAGTTGAGCATTGGGCAACTGTGATTGGCTAAGTGTGTCAGCTGACTGCTTTTAATCTAATGCTGGTATGAATCGTTATGGCTAGAAGGAAGTGTTTAATTGCTACCTAAAGTGGAGGAAGGGCTGTGGAAAGCCAGGGACCCTGATTCGGTGTTAAACTTCTCGAAAATGGAGGGACAGTGCCAGGGGACTCTAGACACTGTTCTAGCGGAGCCCTAGTCCTGGCAGGGACTTTCCTCTGCTGGATCACCAAGACTAAAATCAGGAACAGGAAAATGCCAAGTAAAAAGCCCACCTCCTCCCCAGCAACTGGACGACACACAGTTCTGGGAGTACAACTGATTTTATACATTGCCCCTAGCATGGGGATTCTCAGACAAAATTACAAAAGTTCCTTTCCCAAGAGCCTTTGTGTTTGGGAGTATATTGAGCTCAAATTAGGATAACTCAATTATCTCTCAAACACAGAACCTTGCATACATATTTTACAATATCCCAAAAATACATGAAACAATACAGGAACCCCACCCCACTATATCCAAAAAGCGCTCAGATCGGTTCGGTAGATTGAAAGTTATTGTCGAGCAAAGTTTTCGGAGGTTTCTTTGTGAACACCGATGAATGCTCCCCCTGGCTGCTATGGAGCAAAGGCTCCCCCTGTTCGGTAGATCATATCTCCCAAACATTGTTCGGTTTAGATCAGGGGTAGTCAACCTATTAATACTTACCGCCCACTTTTATATCTTTGTTGATGGTAAAATTTCTTTACCACCCACCAGTGCCACAGTAACTAGGTTAATAGTGCAAATGCGACTTTTTTTTTTTAATTATGTTTTTTTATTTCTTCGAAAAGAGGGTTAAAAAAAAAAGAAGAAAATGTACTTGCATTTTTTTTTCTTTGTTCTATGGGTGCAGTGTGTGTGTGAGGGGTGCTGTATATGGGTGAAGGGTGCAGTGTGTGGGTGAGGGGTCCTGTGTGCTTGAAGTGTGCTGTGTGTGTGTGTGTGTGTGTGTGAAGGGTGCTGTGAGGGGGGCAGTGTGAGAGGGGGCAATGTGTGTGTGAGGGTTGCTGTGTGTGTGTAAAGGGTGCAGTGTGTGTGTGTGTGTTTGAGGGGTGCTGTATGTGGGTGAAGGGTGCAGTGTGCGTGTGAGGAGTGCAGTGTGTGAGGGTTGATGTGTATGCGTGTGAGGGGGCAGTGTACGAGGGTGGCAATGTGTGTGAAAGGTTCTGTGTGCATGTGAAGGGTGCTGTGTGCATGTAATGGGTCCTGTGTGTGAAGGGGAGGCAGTGTGTGTGATGGGTGCAGTGTGTTTGTGAATGGTGCTGTGTGTGATGGGGGCAGAATGGGAGTGTGATTGTGTGTCTCAGGGGTGCAGTGTGTGTGTAAAGGGTTCGGTGCTGTGTGTGAAAGGTGCATAGGGTTTATGCTGTGTGTAGGTGGGTGAGATGTTAAAATCTATCTTGATGTCTCCCCCTCCTTCCTTCTTACCTTTTACCAAGTAGGGATCCAGTGGTGGCATGTTCACTTTAGCTTGCAACTCCTCCGGCTGTAGGCTGACTCTCCTGTCCTCCTGCGAGCACAGCACTGTATCGGAGCGTTGCCATTGTAACGCGTGGCAACACTCTGACCAGCATGCTCACAGAAGGAACACAGAGCCTCCCAGGTCCTTCCCTACCTCTGCTGGAACTAAGTGATCTCCCTCACCATCCCAAGAGGGCTTACAACAAGGCTGGCTCTGCATGAGCCGGCAGGGGAGATGAAAGGATTTCCCCTGCTGGCCATGGTCCACGGCCATCGAGGCCCACCGGTCGTTTTCTGCCGAACCTACCACTGCCCACCTGAAATCCCAAACCGCCCACTAGTTGGCGGTAGGGACCGGGTTGACTACCCATGGTACGAACTCCGCCTGGGTTCGCGGAAATGCGAGGCCGAAAAAAGTTCAATGCGTTCAATGACCAGGTACCGCTGCCTGCGTTTGGGAGACAAAAAACAGGAAAAACAATCAAGCAAAGGTGTTAAGCTGGTAATTTGTGGTTAACAGCCGGGGGAGGTCGGTGTTCACTGGGGCACAGTAGACGAACAAGGGGGTATGGACAACCGAACATAAAGGAATGAAGTCTGCTACAACTATAACCACTTCAATAAGTTGGAATGGCTTAATACTTAATGGAAGGACAGCACCAGTGGACTCCATGCACTATAATCACTTCAATGAGATTAAAGAGTGTCCCTCTAAGGGTAAAAACAAGTGTTATTTGCTTATAATAAAAACAATGGCATTGCTGAACTCACATTGCAGTGATGGCGGCAGGAAGCCTCACAATGAAACGTTTGATGAGATCTGAAGTAAAAAGGAGGGGAAAAAAGCAAAAGAAATTAATAAATGCGGCAAACAGGTCAGAATGGATTTGGGAATCGGTGGGGGGATAAAACAAGTTAAATAACTAACAAAATTAGCAATAATCATAGGAAAATAGCAAACCAAGTACATGGGGGTCTAGTCTAAAGGAATGGATTTAAAATATATAATAATGGCAAGGATTTAATATTGTCAGATACGTTTTTGAAATTATTTAATATTTTTAGATACAATCTTTACAAATTATTGTTTTCACAATATTAAAATATAAAAAAAAGGATTGTATATAAAAAAAATCTAAATATTACAAAATTAAAATATTATTCAAAATATGAAATAGTTTGAAAAGTTATCCACTGATATATTAAATCGAGTACAATTTGTGATAAGAGGTGATCAGGAATTAGCAAACAAAGAGAACGTTAGAATGTTATACAACCTTGTGTGCGTTGTGATTGGACATTGCATGTGATGTCACTACTGGTTTAATATCGCTGTTAATTAATGAAGACGGAGGAAGTATAAGGAGCCTCTGTGTCTTGTAATAAATTCCCATTGCAGTCCTTCTCCAAGTCTATGCCCGTATGAATGAAATACGTGTCTCACTCATGCCCTCCCCCACTTGGTCTGGAGACAAATAGCCAAGTGGGGGAGATTGTCTTTCTTATCACTGTGACAGATCCTTATTAAATATAAAAAACTATATCAAACAATGCCGAGGTAGAAAGGCTTTAACTAATGCATAATTTAGTAGTAATAAGAAATGAGAATGATAGATCAGAATTGTAGATTATCAAAATCCCCAGATTTATAGCATTCTGGTTTCTGCATTTAATAGAGTTTTCCTGGGCTGAGACAGTTCTTATTAAATGTTGGTTTTAAGTGAATTATGAGAAAAATAAGGTAATTGAGGGGTATTGGAGATGCCATAATACACCCCAACAGACTGAAGGTATACATTCTAGAACACTGACATGGTATTATTTCCCATAATGTAGGATGATGTGAGCTTTCGATTTCCAGTTATCGCTGCCCACAGAAGGTGCGGAGGAGTTTTCCCTCATGTGAAATACATTTTAAGATAACTTTATCTGACTTTAACAAACGGAAACCATGGAGTCTGCAGTATTTAGAAACTTCCTCATTCTCAGTTTTGTACCTAGTAACGGTCTCTAAGCTTGTCAACAAGCCCTCTTTTTTGTACAAATTAAGAAAAACACTTGTTGGTGGTATGGGTGTAGGAACCAGGTGGAAGGGTGGAGGGGGACACCCCCACAATTTGTGAGGAGATGCGAGGAGTAAGAGCCCCTTTGTCATGATGGTCTTACTAGATCATAGGGTTTCTTGTCTAGGAAAGAAAAAATAAACAAAAAGATTTGGTTATTCTATTTTATTATGAGACTTGTCCTCATAATATATCGTTCTGCCCATAGACTTAAGGGTGGATAGGGGAGATTGAATGGGGGAATGGCAGAGGGTGAAAGGGGGAATGGCTGAGGGTGAATGGGGGAATGGGCTGAGATTGAATGGGGGAATGGGCTTCTGATAGGGATCTGTATTTTACTTTGCCTGGATGTATGGTAAGGTCCAAAGCAGGTCCGGTGCAAGTGATAGGTGAGGTATAAGGGCAGAGAGGTCTGATCTGCTGTGGAGCTTCTGAATGGAGGATAGGTGAGGTGAAGTGTCAGAGGCAGATATGGTTTTGGAAAAGCTGTAGTTGAGATATAGATGAATGGGGTTAGAACTGCCAAAGATGGAAACATATCTATTGTGCATTGAGCTGTAAAAGCTGGGTCAAGGGAGGAGATCCAGGAGGGATTCCCATTATGTCATTTAGTGTTCGGTCCCTTTAAATCACAGAATAACCGTTTAAACATCACCAGTCATGGCATTTCATAGAATAATATCCATTACTTTTTCCAGAGAGCAAGTGTTCATTGAGAGCGCTGGCTCACGGCCAAATGCCAAGAAGGTTATCCTGATGTTGACGGACGGAGAAGTTACGGACAATGAAAACGGCGTTATAGAACGTAGTGAAAGTATAAAGCTGTCACGATACATTATTGGGGTGAGTGCCTGACATTGTTTCTTATAACAATGATATTAACAGATCAACTCATTATACAAGAATATAGATTTTCCCAAATTTTATTCTGGAGCAAGTGAAGGGAAATATCCTCTTCTATTCTAGGGAGTAACGTGGAGACATTTGTAGAGTAATCCAAGGCTATTTTAGCAGAGGTGATTTAGATTATGGATGAGTTTAGCCATAAACTATAGTTTGAGAACAGGAAAATCTTAAATAGCTTGTCCTTTGGTGGGTCCCAGCTCAGGTCACACACAGGTTTTAGCTCACGTGTGCCGTTATAGAGAGAACCTTGACCTGTTACATATTAGACTGATCTCACCCATAAGGACAGTTCAGATCTCAAAGAACAGCAGGCTTGGTTAGATAATAAAGATAATTTAGTTCCTGGATAAGATCAGTTGGGTCATGGAGAAGATCAGTTGGGTCACAGAAAATACCAGATCACGGGGAAGGTCAGTTAAGTCCTGGATAATATCAGTTAAATCACAGAGACCAGTTAGGTCATGGAGAACACCCGTAATGTGATGGACAAGATCAGTAAGGTAATGAAGATCAGTTGGATCATGGAGAAGGTTAATTAGATCATGGTGAAGACCAGTAAGGTCATGGAGAAGACGAGTAAGGTTATAGAGAAGATAAGTAAGGTCATGGAAAAGATCATTAAGGTCATTGAGACATTCATGTAGATCTCAGAGACAATATTTTCCATGATCTCACTGAGATTCTCCATGACCTTATTGATCATAGAGAAAATCACTTAGGTCAAGGAGAAGATTGGTAAGGTCATGGAGAACATCAATCGGGTCATGGAGAAGATTTGTTAGAGGATATGGTTCTCTGAGTGTGTTGCATCTCACCTGGGATTAGACATCTGTTTGTCCTGTGTAGTGTCCGTATTTCATCCTTTCTGTACCTCTTACTGTAACTGATGATGGTCTCCTGTTCTACATCTTACAGATAGGCAAGAACTTCAACAATGAAGAATCCAAAAAAAATTTACATTTACTGGCCTCTAAACCAACTGAAAATTACACAAGAGTTCTGGATGATGTTTCTAAACTGAAAGACGTCTTTTCTGAAATTGAGCGGAAAATTGTCTCAGTTGAGGGTCAGTGGCCAGTTTTACTAGACTTGATGTGATGGCTCCCATTTGTTAAAAATCTCACAGTAATGCTTTGTTCTTCTTATCAGGTGTAACGAGCAGTTCAAATTTCCCCAGAGAGTTTTCATCAGCCGGTCTTAGTGCAGATATGCTGCAGGTAAGATGCTGCTTATTCTAGCTATTGGGCCCTGAAATTACCAGCTACAAATAGCACTCCAAAATATAATTGCCCCCATGCCAAAAGATCTATTAAGTCTCTCCCACAGACTATAAAGAGATATGATTACAGCGCAAAGTAGAGAGAGATATTGTTCACAATCATGTAATCATGCTTTTCAGAAGGTTATCAGATGACGTACTGTCAGTGTGTCTTCAGAACATGACCCTAGAAGCCAGCAGTGTAATGTGCTGCCATGGGGCAGGGCTTCTGTTATTGGCTGCTACCCAGAGGGTAGCATTGTGCTGATTGTACAGTGAGTTACAGACTAAAGCTGCGAGGGATCAGGCCACGTTACACTCTGAACATCCTCTCTAGTATAGCACAAGTCCCCTGTGATCAGCAACTGTGCCCTGCGCTCTCCTCCCTCTGCCCAGCTCTGCCCTCCCCCCTCTGCCCTCCTCCTTTTGCTTTCCACCCTCTGCCCAGCTCTGCCTTCCCTCTGCCCATCTCTGCCTTCCTCCCTCTGCCCATCTCTGCTCTCCTCCCTCTGCCCAGCTCTGCCCTCCCCCCTCTGCCCTCCTCCGCCCTCCCCCCTCTGCCCTCCTCCTTTTGCTTTCCACCCTCTGCCCAGCTCTGCCTTCCCTCTGCCCATCTCTGCCTTCCTCCCTCTGCCCATCTCTGCCCTCCTCCCTCTGCCCAGGAAGGCTATTTAAACCCAATTGTCCTCTTGCTAATTGCCCTGTCATGGTTTCATGCCTATGGTTATCTGAGAGCGCGTTCCTGATCTTGATTTTCTCGTATTTGACTTTGGCTTCGTTTTGACTTCCCTGAATTCTGGTATCCTTGACTTTTGGCTTTCCCTCATCTTTGTGTCTGATTCTGTGTCCCTGACCTCGGCAAGTATTTTGACTTTTCTTGGAGATGTTAAGTCCGGCAATTCTAAAGTCCACAGTTCTGCGTGCTGGACCAACTTGTAATACTGACACTAGCATACCTACCTACCAAGCATTCTTCCCTAGCACGCCTACCTACCTCGCATACCTAAATTTAGACACCATTGCCTTACACACACACACACACACACACAGCCACACATTGACACACCATCTTAGCACAGCACATGCAGCTCTACATTCACACACCATTTTAGCACAGCAGCAGTTACAGCTCTACATTCACACACCATATTAGCACAGCACATGCAGCTCTACATTCACACACCATTTTAGCACAGCGCATACAGCTCTACATTCACACACCATTTTAGCACAGCAGTTACAGCTCTACATTCACACACCATATTAGCACAGCACATGCAGCTCTACATTCACACACCATTTTAGCACAGCGCATACAGCTCTACATTCACACACCATTTTAGCACAGCGCATACAGCTCTACATTCACACACCATCTTAGCACATACAGCTCTACATTCACATACCATCTTAGCACAGCACTAACAGCTGCATTAAAAAACACATTAACACTCAGTGCTCTGAGACAACGCTGAATTAAAAAAAATAAAAATAAAAATGTTCTTTGCAATCACCCGTGGTGGCACGTAACTCTGAAGACTGGCTAATGGCTAATAGGTCTCCCATTAGGAATTGAAATTTTGAGCCCTAGATATAAATATATAACCAACACTGAAAGGGCAAAGATCACAAACCGTGTTATGAAGGTTATTCTGACAACGATTGCTGGTTTATTAATGCACTGTTTGCCATCCATTTCATTACAGGGTACCCTGGTTCTGGGAGACCCCGGTATCTATGAATGGTCTGGGGGGATCCTGGAGACCCTCCATGGTCAGGACACACTGATAAACACCTCGATGGGGCAGGAAAGGCACTTCTCGTACCTGGGTGAGAAACCAAGAGGGCTGTATGAGAGTCCACGAGACTGTATGGAAAGTCTGTGTGAGAGGCCAGGGGTCTGTGCGAGAGATGATCAGACTTTGTGAGTCCATAAGACTGTAGGAGAGGCCAGGCGTCTGTGCAAAAGGATAGATGAGGACTGTGCGAGAGATGATGAGACTGTAGGAGAGGCCAGGGGTCTGTGCAAGAGATGATGAGATAATGAGACAAGACTGTAGGAGAGGCCAGGCGACTGTGCAAAATGCCAGGTGACGACTGTGCGAGAGACACAAGCCTGTATAATACAAAGCTGTGGCATTTCATGGAGATTAGAAACAAACTTCCTGATACTGGTCTTAGTGAAATGTGTTGTACCAGGCTTGTATAGTACAATGATTCCCAGTCCAGATTTCCCAGTTCTGTACCAATGAGGATACTGACCACACCTGGACGGCATTCAGATTGGGACCAATCTGGAGACCATGGCTATTACAGGAAATGTACTATAATTTACATATACTTCAAAGAACTGGTAGACTAAGTTCTACAAACCTGTATGTAACTGTCTATAGGTTACTCCGTGAGACTGATTTACTCCTCGGAGGGACTGTTCTGTGTATCAGGAGCACCGAGGTACAATTACAAAGGACAGGTGATACTACTGAAAAAGAACATGGCCACAACAGGATGGGAAGAAATAAAGAGACTGCATGGAGAGCAGGTAGGAGATTACTGTAACAGTGAGAGAGTATCGGAGATCACGACTATTAACATTTTTTACGAAGGAAATGTAGCAGGGCTTCTTCTCTGCTGGTTACTCCAATAGCTATTCAGGAACAAGCTGGAAACTCCAAGACAGCAGGCAGAAATACAAGATAATCCACGAATCTCCCATCACCCTTCCCAATAACTGGACGACACTCAGTATCAGGAGCAGAACTGATTCTTTAAAGGACCACTATAGTGTCAGGAAAACATACTCGTCCCCTCCCGCTGGGCTCTAGTGGGTGGAAGGGGTTAAATTTACCTCTTTCTCCAGCACCGGGCGGGGAACTCTCCTTCTCCATATCGCCGTCATCGGCTGAATGCGCATTCTCAATGCTTTCCTATGGACGCTGGCGTCTTCTCACTGTGAAAATCATAGTGAGAAGCGCGGAAGCGCCTCTAGTGGCTGTCTATGAAACAGCCACTAGAGGCTGGATTAACCCTATTATAACCATATCAGTTTCTCTGGAACTGCTATGTTTATAGAGGAAAGGGTTAACCCTAGCTGGACCTGGCACCCAGACCACTTCATTAAGTGGAAGTGGTCTGGGTGCCTATAGTGGTCCTTTAATGGCCAGGCTGGCCTTTTAGGCAGGTTTTGCCCAAAAGGTTACCACCCAGGTGGACCTTGTGGGGCACCGATAAAAATATACATCAACCAGTAAAAACAGAGTTAAGTTACAAGACACTCCCATACACTGCATACTACCCCTCCCCTCAGGAGATAATGGAGTTAATTACTGTATCAACTCAATTATCCCAAAAACAGAAAAACTAACTTTTCTGAAAACACCCCAAAACATATCCTACATTTACAATTCCAACATCCCCTGATAGCCCCGATCTGGGGGAGCAACATACTGAAAAATCACCCAGATCAGTTCAGGGGTTAGAAAGTTTTCTGGATGTCTTAGTTTTACCGACCGCACACGAGGTGTAAGCCAAGAATAGTTCCATGAGTTTTGGCCGTGCGGTCGGTCTCCGTTCGTGAGGTTGAAATGCATGAAAATATATAACAGAATGGTTCGTGTCTTTGTTCATCTAATTCCTCTCGTTCGTATGACTCTTTCACCAAATGCTGGTCTGTTCCCTTGATTTCCCACAAACTTATGCGAGGATGGAAGTTTCTGCGGTGTTCGTGCCGTCGCGTGTCCGATTTGGGTTTCAGACACTCGATGACCAGACACCACTGGTGCAATTCGTATGTTAAGATGGCTGCCGCCACGTGTTCGTATGCCGAATGGCGGCCACCCAGGGAACACCTAGTTAGTTTGTGGCAATTAAAATAGTTTGAATACAGTTAGGGAGGTTAATTAATGCCACTCTCCTCTCCTGGGTGGCCTGGTTGTTTGGTAGTTTGTCGAACAGTATGGTGAAAAATAGTTGAAATGGGATTCCTACCAAACAACCAGACGAACAAGAGTTAATATTACAGTGTTACTTGTATCTTCATGTAACCAACAGGGCAAGTAACTGAAATATAGTAACAAATATGGTGGCTGGAAAGTCCTTAGCAAAAGGAAGGTACTGTGGCAAAGCCCATTCCACTACAAGAAACCAACTTGTTATTCTGAAATTGTCTTGCGATCTATGAAATAAAATAATCAAAATCTTAGACTTTTCTAAAATCTATCATTACCTCAAATACTGTCCAACTTCTCGCTAGTAAAAATGGAAAAAAATGTTAAGACCCAGAACTGAAAACTGAAAAGAGGATCTATGGATAAAGAGGTCACTGCCCCACCACTCCCTCACAATGCCCCACCACTCCCTCACACTGCCCCACCACCCCATCTCACAATCACCGACCCCTCCTTGCTGTTAACCACAAATTGCTCATTATTGCAAGTGTTTCCCCTGTGTGGCCACCGTTCGTATAACCGAACACACGTGCTCCAAGAAATGGTGGCTATTTTGTCTCCCGAACACAGGCAGCAAGGGGGAGCATTCGTCTGTGTTCATGTGACCGGTCGTTGCCTTGTTTTCTATGGAACTGTTTTGGGGCATCACCTCGTGGCCGACCGGTCAAAACTTAATTCGAATAGCGTTCCTGAACCACCGAAGGGATCTGAGGGCTATTTTCGACAAACTGGGCGCTCAGACTCAAGCTATTCGGTAATGGGAAATTGTAATATTGTGTATGTTTTCTTGTAGCTGAGAGATAATAGTTTTCTCACTCAATTATCTCTCAGAAACAGAAGTTCCTGGCAGGAAATCCCTTGTTATGTTGATGTGGCCAAAATAAACTTCCTTTGTGTCGTCTAGTTGCTGGGGGGAATGTGTCTTGGATTATTATACTGCTTCTTTCAGCTTCGAGGAAGGAATAGCAGCGATACCTATGCTAGGTATTGGAGCTCCGCTACACTTACCTTACTCACACGCCTATTAGAGGCGTATACGCTATTTATACATTGCAGTCAATTTATATAAAATGAATTATTCTGTAAATTAATTTTTAGTTTGTTATGTAAAGGTAACAATTAATTAATATAGATATTACCTGGAATTAATTCTGTTTTGATCTCTTGCAGTTTGGCTCGTACTTTGGATCAGAGATTGCCGTTTCTGACTTTAATAATGAAAGCCCACCACAATTGGTTCTGATATCTGCTCCTCACCATGTGGAGAAGCGCTGGGGTGGCCAGGTCTCTGTGTGTCTGTTTAGAAAGGTGAGTGTTCACAATGTACATGTTTTGAGCTATTACCTGCAATTGGAGTAGTTGCTTACTATGTATTTAGATTTTGGACACCCTCTAGAGGGACAAAGGTTTAAAAATAATATCAGGAAGTATTACTTTACTGAGAGGGTAGTGGATGCATTGAATAGCCTTCCAGCTGAAGTGGTAGAGGTTAACACAGTAAAGGAGTTTAAGCATGCGTGGGATAGGCATAAGGCTATCCTAACTATAAGATAAGACTAGGGACTAATGAAAGTCTTTAGAAAATTGGGCAGACTAGATGGGCCGAATGGTTCTTATCTGCCGTCACATTCTATGTTTCTATGTTTCTATGTTTGACGTAGGGAGATCTCTCTTGCACTGCCACACTTCGTGGAGAGTCTGGACACCCATTCGCACAGTTTGGAGCTGCAGTCACATTCCTTAGCGACCTTGATGGAGATGGCATTCAAGAGGTGGCTGTGGGAGCTCCATATGAGATGGATGGGACTGGAGCTCTATATATATTTAAAGGAGAGCAAACAGGGGTGCAAACAATGTACAGCCAGGTAAGGGATGGAATGGAGGAGAAGTGATGCCAAAAAATGGAAGGATAGGAGATGGGATGAGGCACGAGAGGTGGAGGGAATGTAGGCTAATCGAGGATGATGGGATGTGTAGGAGAGGTCGAGAGAATGTAGAGTAATGTAGGCTATTGGGATGGACAAGAAGGTAAGGAGAAAGGAATCTGATGGGATCACCAGGAGAAGTGGCTAGGATGTAGGATAATGTAGGCTGATGAGAGGGAGAGATGGATGGAATGTAGGGTAATGGAAGCTGTTGGGATGGGCAGGAGAGGTGAATGAGATGTAGGGTACTGAAAGCTGCTGGGATGGGCAGGAGAGGTGTATGGGACATAGGGTAATGGAAGCTGGTGGGATTAGCAGGAGAGGTGGATGGGACATGGGTAATGGAAGCTGGTGGGATTAGCAGGAGAGGTGGATGGAACCTTGTGGGATGGGCAGGAGAGGTGGATGGGACATAAGGTAACGGAAGCTGGTGGGTTTGGCAGGAGACGTAAGGAGATCCACTTTGCAATACCGGGTCTATGTTCTGTTCTTCCTTAGCGTCTCTTGGGAACACGGCCGATGCAGAGTTTTGGTCTCTCTGTGCATGGTGTCCTGGATATGACCAGTGATGGCCTAACAGATCTTGTTGTGGGATCCTTAGGTCAAGTTGGAGTGCACAGGTAAGAGACCTTCCTTTATGTTGTGTCACAGTCGGTATTCTTAATAAAGAAACCTAACACGCTCTCCATCCTCCAGGTCTTATCCTGTAATACATGTCACTGCAAACATGACATTCAAGCCACCAGAAATTCCCATCCCGAAATTTGATGTATCCAGCTGTGAAAGTGCACTGTTAGCACAAACATGTGTGCACTCCAGAATTCTGACACGCTCATATACAGGTACAACAGTGTGCTAATAAAACATGGATCAGCAGCAAAGCTTACTAGCATGCAGAACTCCCTCCACTCTGCCTCAGGTACCACCTCCCACAGCTAATACTCTAATATCCAGGTACCCGCTCCCACAGCTATTACTCTAATATCCAGGTACCCGCTCCCACAGCTATTACTCTAATATCCAGGTACCCGCTCCCACAGCTAATACTCTAATATCCAGGTATTAGCATTTTTAGATAACATAATGTAATCCATATTTGGGTCCATATTAGGGTTAACCTTAACCCTGACCCTGGTGGAGAATCGCAGAATCTGTCTGTTATAAAAGGTCACTGCATCTGTTGGTGTTATTAGGGTCACTGCATCTGTCTGTTATTGTCATGCTCCTGAGCAGGTCAGAGAGGAGATGATTGCAAGGGTTATTGGTTAAAACTTTATTTTTGTCGTATTAGACATAACAAATTTACTGAAAATAAAGGGCAGTCTGCCACAAACAGGATACTTTGTGAGAAAAAACAGGGTTTAGGCCATATGCCCCCAACAAGATCTTTAGAAAGTAAATGAATAAAGTCTTTTGTATACAAGCAGGCTTGAAGTTATACCAAGTAGTTAAGGATTTCCAGGATACTTTGCAATGCAGCTAGTTATAGGTAAATACCGTTTAGGAGAAGGCAATACAGGATCATGCAGAGTTGCAGAGGTTGAAACAGGTCGGTATATTCCAAAATAATGTAATGCAGGTTGCTTACGAGATCATGCAGTGACGCAGCAATTGAAGCAGTTAAGATTCTTCAATGACGGCAATACGCCACAAATCAGGATTCTTGGGAGCCGATAAGGAAAGTCTTTCGGTAAGATGTAATTCAGGCAAGTTCAGGATGAAGTAATGCAGGTTAGTGCCTTTCAGTATGAGGAAATGCAGATGAGTGCAGGAGGAGGCACTGCAGGTAAGCTCTCTACAGAATGAATTAATGTAGATAAAATACAGGCTATTACCAGGAACAGAGATTATTTATCAGAGCATAGACTTGAATGTCAAGGCACTGTTGTGTGCTGGGAGTAGACTTATCAAGCCTCCTAATTAGTTAATACAGGTGAGGTTATTAAGGTGAGTGAATAGATTAGTGGCTAGAGAGGCCACTAGAGGAGAAAATCATGAAGTTCACTTAAAGGGCCAGTAATAAACGAAAAAGTCTTACATGTCAGTTTTGAAACCTGTCTGTTATAAGGTCACTGGATCTGTCTGTGTTACAGGGTCACTGCATCTGTCAGTTATAAGGTCACTGCATCTGTCTGTTATAAGGTCACTGGATCGGTCTGTTATAAGGTCACTGGATCGGTCTGTTATAAGGTCACTGGATCTGTCTGTGTTACAGGGTCACTGGATCTGTCTGTTATAAGGTCACTGGATCGGTCTGTTATAAGGTCACTGGATCTGTCTGTTATAAGGTCACTGGATCTGTCTGTGTTACAGGGTCACTGGATCTGTCTGTTATAAGGTCACTGGATCGGTCTGTTATAAGGTCACTGGATCTGTCTGTTATAAGGTCACTGGATCGGTCTGTTATAAGGTCACTGGATCTGTCTGTGTTACAGGGTCACTGGATCTGTCTGTTATAAGGTCACTGGATCGGTCTGTTATAGGGTCACTGGATCTGTCTGTGTTACAGGGTCACTGGATCTGTCTGTTATAAGGTCACTGGATCGGTCTGTTATAAGGTCACTGGATATGTCTGTTATAAGGTCACTGGATCTGTCTGTGTTACAGGTTCACTGGATCTGTCTGTTATAAGGTCACTGGATTGGTCTGTTACAGGGTCACTGGATCTGTCTGTGTTACAGGGTCACTGGATCTGTCTGTTATAAGGTCACTGGATCGGTCTGTTTTATAAGGTCACTGGATCTGTCTGTTATAAGGTCACTGGATATGTCTGTTATAAGGTCACTGGATCGGTCTGTTATAAGTTCACTGACTCTGTCTGTTATTAGGGTCACTGGATCTGTCTGTGTAACAGGGTCACTGGATCTGTCTGTGTTACAGGGTCACTGGATCTGTCTGTTATAAGGTCACTGGATCTGTCTGTTATTAGGGTCACTGGATCTGTCTGTGTTACAGGGTCACTGCATCTGTCAGTTATAAGGTCACTGGATCTGTCTGTGTTACAGGGTCACTGGATCTGTCTGTTATTAGGGTCACTGGATCTGTCTGTGTTACAGGGACACTGGATCTGTCTGTTATAAGGTCACTGGATCTGTCTGTTATAAGGTCACTGGATCTGTCTGTTATTAGGGTCACTGGATCTGTCTGTGTTACAGGGTCACTGGATCTGTCTGTGTTACAGGGTCACTGCATCTGTCAGTTATAAGGTCACTGGATCTGTCTGTGTTACAGGGTCACTGGATCTATCTGTTATAAGGTCACTGGATCTGTCTGTTATAAGGTCACTGGATCTGTCTGTTTTATAAGGTCACTGGATCTGTCTGTTTTATAGGGTCACTGGATCTCGTTCTCCATTTCTTGGTCGTGCTGGATTCTGGACGCTCTGTATCACGAATCTCATTTGAAAACCAACAAAGAGAGTTAAATGAAACATTTAGGGTCCAAAGAGAGGGGAAAGAATGTCGTGATATCACCTTGTACCTCTCGGTGAGACTGCTCATAACACCTCGATCTAGATGCTGCAAGTCTCAATATTTCTCTGATACAGCCTATCTCTCTCTCTTTCTCAGGACTGCTCTCTGGATGACCTTTCTCCCATAGCGGTGTCTCTCAGTGTGCACAAAGAAGACTCTTTCTGGCTCCTCTCTCCATCCAGCAGTCTCACGGCCGTCTCCCAGGTTTGGCCACACAGTGTGCTGAGTGATATTTGTGTATTACCTAATGATGCCACTGTGACCAAGTAATGTTCCTGTGACATCACTGTGCCTGACTATACTAAATGATGTCACTGTGACCAAGTAATGTTCCTGTGATGTCACTGTACCTGACTATACTAATATGATGTCACTGTGACCGAGTAATGCTCCTGTGATGTCATTGTACCTGACTAATACTAATATGATGTCACTGTGACCAAGTAATGTTCCTGTGATGTCATTGTACCTGACTAATACTAATATGATGTCACTGTGACCGAGTAATGTTCCTGTGATGTCACTGTACCTGACTATACTAATATGATGTCACTATGATGTCACTCTACCTGACTAATACTAATATGATGTCACTGTACCTGACTATACTAATATGATGTCACTGTGACCAAGTAATGTTCCTGTGATGTCACTGTACCTGACTAATACTAATATGATGTAACTGTACCTGACTAATATTAATATGATGTCACTGTGACCAAGTAATATTCCTGTGACACCACTGTACCTGACTATACTAATATGATGTTACTGTGACCAAGTAATGCTCCTGTGCTGTCACTGTACCTGACTATACTAATATGACGTCACTGTGACCAAGTAATGTTCCTGTGATGTCACTGCACCTGACTAATACTAATATGATGTCACCGTGACCAAATAATGCTCCTGTGATGTAACTGTACCAAGCTATTTCTAATGTGATGTCACTGTGCCCTGTAATGCTCCTTACTATACTAATATGATGTCACTGTGACCGAGTAATTCTCCTTTGACGTCACTGTACCTGACTAATACTAATCTGATGTCATTGTGACTGAGTAATGCTCTTGTGATGTCACTGTACCTGACTAATACTAATCTGATGTCACTGTGCCCGAGTAATGCTGCTGTGACGTCACTTTGCCGGGTTAATACTAATGTGTTGTTATCCTTCCTGAGGAGTGTACCTGTGCTATGAATGCATGTCGATAATGCTCTTATGATTTCTCTTAATAAGAACAAATTGTGATGTCACTGATTTGAGTAATATGTAAAGTGATGTCACTGAGTAATGTCCATGTTATCAGTCCTCAGTACTGCTTTTCAATACCATGTAAAGTCATTGTCTTCTTGGGTTATGGAACCACCTGGTTAGACAGTCCACGGGGCAATCTCCCCTTATTAGACAGCCCATGGGAAATCTTTGCTGGTTAGGCAGTCCATGGGGAAGCTCTCTTGGGCAATTTCCCCTGGCTAGACAGTCCATGAGGCAATCACCCCTGGCTAGACAGTCCACGGGGCAACAGTCCACAGGGCAATCTCCCATATTTAGACAGTCCACCGGGAATCTCTCCTGGTTAGACTATTACAGAGTGCACAATGTAATATTGGGCAAGATGAAGGATAATATTGTCTCATTGTTTATCTTTTTAAAGATCTTGTTTCAAATATGTGAAAATGGTGGAATCTGTGGATCCGATCTCAGCGTTACCTTTAAGAAGTAGGTACCAGCGAAAGCATGTTAGTGTGCTTGGGACCTGGCACAGTGATATATCATGGTCCAGACTCTCACATTGTCTTAATACATGATAAACAGATGGCACTTTCCAAATGGGCTGCAAAATATTTTTGTAGGTGCTCACTGGATATGCAACAAACGTTATAAGGTGTTCATCATCAATCAAAACAGCAATTTTATTAGGAATCCACCAGTTTCGGCCCCAATGAGTGCTTTTATCAAGCCAAACAGTATCATGATTTACAGGCCTTTAAACACTTTTATATTAAATGTAGTATACTGTGTAAAACACGTATGTACATAGTGGGCATTGGATAGCATTCCCCTCATCCCCCCATAAAAAACATAACTTACCCCTTCAAATAACGACAGACAACTTCTTGGGAAAATAGGCCACAGCATTTATTAACACCACCAAATACTGTATAACTCCTTAAAGGACCACTATAGTGCCAGGAAAACATACTCGTTTTCCTGGCACTATAGTGCCCTGAGGGTGCCCCTTACCTTTCTCCAGCGCTGGGCGGGGAGCTCTCCTCCCCCGATCCTCCGCCTCTCCGCCCATTCGGCTGAATGCGCACGCGTGGCAAGAGCTGCGCGCGCATTCAGCCGGTCGCATAGGAAAGCATTTTCACAGTGAGAATCACGCAAGCGCCTCTAGCGGCTGTCAATGAGACAGCCGCTAGAGGCTTTGGGGGAAGGCTTAACCCATTCATAAACATAGCAGTTTCTCTGAAACTGCTATGTTTATAAAAAAATAAATGGGTTAACCCTAGAAGGACCTGGCACCCAGACCACTTCATTAAGCTGAAGTGGTCTGGGTGCCTAGAGTGGTCCTTTAAACATATAACATAATAAATTAACATAAACACTTTTTATACAGTCATACAGTAATCAAGAAAACCGTCCTTGCCAATCTAACTTCCCCAAGGCTCTCACCTCCCCCCCTCGGCATAATAAAACCTCTTCCTTTTCACAGCTCCCCACCAGCCGGTTGTCCGCTCGGTGGGGCCAAACCATAATGCTCCCCACTGGTCGACTTACAACCCAGTGGGGACACGTCCAACCTGGTACCTCCTCCAGGTTCACCATAAGAGACAGGGGGAGGATGAGACCCGGCCATTTTCCCCCTTTTCAATCTAATCTACCAAACCATCCCTTATTTGGCAAGGACACACCCCCGCTTCGCTGTGACAACCCCCCGGGCCCAAAGCAGCAAAGAGAGGGTGGGTGGGAAACTTGTTGCTGGCCTAGCTCCTAAGTGGCACTGAGGTCAGTCTGATCTGTCACCACCCACTTCCTCACATCTCCCACTCCCACATGTAGCCTAAAGCCAATCATGCATCATCCATCCCACACTCATACATGTGCCCCTGTCCGCTAAGCTGGGCACTCTCCCTGGGGCCTTGTTTTTTATTTGTGTTTTTATGTTTGTCCGACACATTCCATGTACATACTGTGTTTTGGCCCAATGTCTGTCCGACGCATTCCGTGTACATACTGTGTTTTGGCCCAATGTCTGTCCGACGCATTCCGTGTACATACTGTGTTTTGGCCCAATGTATGTCCGACGCATTCCGTGTACATACTGTGTTTTGGCCCAATGTCTGTCCGACGCATTCCGTGTACATACTGTGTTTTGGCCCAATGTCTGTCCGACGCATTCCGTGTACATACTGTGTTTTGACCAAATGTCTGTCCGACGCATTCCGTGTACATACTGTGTTTTGGCCCAATGTCTGTCCGACGCATTCCGTGTACATACTGTGTTTTGGCTCAATGTCTGTCCGAAGCGTTCTGTGTACATTCTGTGTTTTGGGTCGACATATCTCAAAGCTCTCTGTGTACATGTTTGTTTTGGCTCTATGTTTAAACTTTCTGTGTACATACTGTATTTTGGCTCGTTATTTGTCAAAGTGCTCCATGTAGATACTGGGTTTGGCTCAATGTTTGTTGAAGCATATACTGTGTTTTGGTTTGATGTTTGTCATACATTTTGTGTACATACAGTGTTTGGGGCAATGACTAACGTGATCCTTTATACATTTACTCTAACAGCACCTCTGATCCACGTTTTCCAGTACCTACACTTTTGCTGCGCAGTAAATCACCATTTTCTGTGTCTCTGGAATTAAAGAACATGGGGGAAGTGGGTCACCAAATCACCTTAGCGCTGACACACCCACACGGATTGTCTTTTCACAAGGCTGCTATTGAGGTACCATGACGTGTCATATGTCAGTGTGTGATGTAATAATGCTGTCCAGTGAGGGATATAATAATGTCAGTGTGTAATGTTATAATGCTGTTAGTGAGTGATGTAATAATGCAGTCAGTGAGGGATGTAATAATGCTGTCCAGTGAGGGATGTGATAATGCTGTCCAGTGAGGGATGTAATAATGTCAGTGTGTAATGTAATAATTGTGACAGACTGCCTGTCACACCGACTGGGTGCCTCTGCCAATTGCTGCTTCCTACTAGCCTGGAGTACTATAAGCACCGGACACCATAAGCACCGTAGACCCATAGCCGCGGTAGTTTGCCTGGGGGTCTCGCTGTCCTCCACCCACCCTGGAAACAAGCCCAGGATCCAGCTTCCAGTTGGTGGACCTCTCCTACTCCAAAGAGTCTAGCAGGTATAGCTGTGTAGCTCTTACAAGAGCTAGTGATTATAGCCAGCATAGCAATCCAAAGCAGGTATAGCTGGTATAGTTGTGTAACGGACCGTTTTGCACACAAGGGGTAAAACCGTTTAGGCGATCGTCCCCTTTCACAGATGCAGGCACAGCTACTGCAGAACACCAAACTCCCGAACAGGATACCAAGTAGCACTCTGTGACAGATTCATCTGTATTACTGGTTCGTCTGTTTCCCTTTGTTCGCTGAATTTCCTGTTCGTATACCCCCGTTCGTGGAATTTGCAAACTACCGATTGAAACTACCGAACGAACGACCACCCAGGAGAGGAGTGTGCTGCTGGTTAACCTCTTGGCCCCAATTAGAACGTTGTGGTTAACCGCAGACACCTCTCCATTCCATTCGTACGGGTGGTCGTCGTTCGCATGTCGACCACGAGGCAGCGGCCATTTTGGGACACACGAACGCATAGCGGTGTTCGGTACAAATTGTATGGAACTAAAAACGGACACTTAAACTACCGAACACCGCTGGAAGCTGATGGCCACCTTCTATTTCGACAAGGCATGCGAACGTCGGTCGTTCGGGAGTTTTTATTCATGCGTATGGACTTTTACCCAGACAGCCATCCCATGGAGTCATTCGTATACCGAAGGACTGGTGAAAGACTTTGACTCCATGGCGATTTGACTAGATACATCGGATCTGAGCGCTATTCGGTGAAAATATGCACTCAGATCCAGCCTGTCTGGGGATACGTTACACGAACTATATTCATTCGGTATTTCTGCAGTTATGTATTTTAATGTATTTTTACTACTGTAATTTAAAATGGTGATTGTCTCTACCCTGGGAGATAATTAGGTTCCTTCCTAATTATCTCCGGGGAAGAGAAGACGGATTTATGGGTAAGATGGGAAGGGCTTATATTGAAGCCACTGCGATTGGCTACTGTCTAATATATTTTACAGTCTTCCACAAGGTAACCTCGGGGAGTGTCCACCTTGTGGAGACCTGCATAAATACCGGGCAGGTAGCCCCCATTAAACAGATCCTGATTTGACCCTCAAGACGGAGCTTGGTCTCGTTTGTGGGGGGGAATTAATACTGGGACAGCGCTTCGTTATTTTTAGCTGTGGAAGGCGTTCGACTGTTTTGCTGATCGGGAGTTGCCGTGTTCGTGGACTTCGTTCGGGAGTTTGACGGTCGCCTGGATATAAACTGCATTTTTGGAGAAGGGGATTATTCACTAAACGGCGGCTTCATCTACCTGGCGGTGAGTGTCTTAACACACTCCAAATTCCAGAACTGGAACCTCACGAATAGCTGCTAGCAGCTGAACAGGAAAAGCACCCAAGCAGCTTACACTCCTGGCAATCAGTCTCTAACAGCATACAGTAAATCCCCCCAAGAACGAGACAAAGCTCCGTGTTGAGGGTCAAGCAGTGAACAGTCAGAGCTGTGGGTTTATTGTGCTTATGTACACATTCTTACACATAAGTACCACCCACAGGGTTTTGGAACACAACCAATAAACACATACAATACACTCAGACACTCCCACACAAATTCCTCCCCTATGCATGTGATTCAATTACTAGATCGTAGTCCTTTGTGACCACAGGAAGCATGGCTTTTCTGCCCAAAACCAGTTCCACAGAGTCTTCTATCCTGGAGATAATTAGAAGTAATCCAATTATCTCCAAAGACAGAGGCAAAACTCCATTGAACACATGGCAGCAAAAAGACAGTAAAATACAATAAAATACACAAGGTTATATTTATGACATAAAATACAGACATGCAACATATGCCCAGATGGCTTAGATCTGAGCGCACATTAATACTGAATGGCGCTCAGACCACAAACACATACAGCTCAATTGCCATGGAGCCAAAGTCTTTTATTACATGAATAGGCTCCATGGCATACCTATCTGGGTTATATGAGTTCATTCAGTAAATCCGAGAATCTACCGAACACCGGGCAGAAAAGCACGAATAAGTCTTTTCTGCAGTGAAAAAGATGTCTTTTAACATGGGGCCATATTCCAAAGGCAGCAGGCGAGCAACCAGGCTTCTCCAATGCAATGTGGCGAGATTGCTCTCGTCACAAGCTGTTCCCTCCAATCACGAGACGAGGCTGCGTGTTGAGGGTGAAGTGAACTGACTTTGATGGGACCACAACGGGCCTTTAGGGGCACTCCCCCCTGGACCTGAGGGTAAACCACAGTAGAAACAAATACACAATCACATTGGCCTTTAGGTCCAGGACACTCCCATACATAAACAGATAAACCCTCCTCTGTGCCTGGAAGATAATTGGATCAGGAACTGTACTAATCTAATCCAATTATCTCCAAGTACAGAAAAAAAAATCATACTTTTTCCCAAACACCCCAAAAGTACCCAAAAAACACATAATACCCCACAAAGGTTACATCCCCTGATAGCCCTGATCTGGGTGACCAACATATCCAAAAATCACCCAGATCAGTCCAGGGGTTCAGGAATTTCCTGGAAGTAATTTATTTAGAGCACATTGTACAGTCATGACATAATGGTATTTGTAACGGACCGTTTTGCCCATAAGAGGTTAAAAACCGTTTAGGCGATATTCCCCTTTTTCAGCTGCACCGACAGCTACTGCAAGCACCAATCTCCTGAACTGCAAACCCACGAATTCACCAACTCCCGAACTGCAACCAAGGGAATACTCGAAACTCCCGAACTGGAGACACACGAATAGCTGCTAGCAGACGAACAGGAAAAGCCCCCAAGCGGCTTACACTCCTGGCAATCAGTCTCTAACAGCATACAGTAAATCCTCCCCCAATAATGAGACAACACTTCACTTTGAGGGTTAAGCAGGAACTGATTTACTGGGGCTAACTGCCCGGCTTTTATGCAGGTCTCCCACCTGGTGGACACTCCCCTAAGGGACCAAATGCGAGACTGGGACACAAAGGGTAAAAGGACCAATCACAGACTTACACATTTCAACCATCCCACAATGCATCACAATCCCTCCTCTCTGCCCTGGAGATAATTAGGCAGTAATTCAATTATCTCCAAAGACAGAGGCAAAACTCCTTTAACCACATGGCAGAAAACAAACAGTAAAAGACATAAAATTACCTACAGTTACATTCAGTACATAAAACATATACGTTCTACATATCCCCAGATAGCTCAGGTCTGAGCGCACATTATTAAGCGAATGGCGCTCAGACCACACGAATACAGTTTAATCGCCATAGAGCCAAAGTCTTTACACAGTCAGTTTCATGCGAATGGGCTCCATAGGATTCCTATCTGGGGCACAACACACTCAAACAAAACTACCGAACAAGAAAGGAGGTCGGCGGCTTCAGCGGTGTATGCGCAAAACTGTGTCCGATTTCAGTTCCATGAATTAAGCGTCGAACACCACTGTGCATTCGCATGTTTAAAATGGCTGCGACCTCGTGTTCGTGATACGAATGGCGGCCACCCAGCATTTGTCAATTAAGCTGCGGTTAACCGCAGCTTCAGGGAGGTTAATTGCCGGCACACTCCAGCTCCCAGGTGGTCTATTCATTCGTGCGGTTGTTCGGTAGATTGAATCTACCGAACACCCGGCAGAAAAGCACGAATAAGTCTTTTCTGCAGGGAAAAAGATGTCTTTTAACATGGGGGCCATAGTCCAAAGGCAGCAGGCGAGCAACCAGGCTTCTCCAGTGTACAGTGGTGAGGTTGGTTTCGCCACAGTATTAACAGGTAACAATTGCATCTATAACATATTCATGTTGTTGTCATCCGGCTTCCCATTAGACATGTGCAATTCGTTTCGGGCCGAATCAAAATTCGGCCGAATTTCTGGTAATTCGGACATTCGGGTGCTTCCGAATGTCCGAATAGTGCCAAAGTGCTGAATTGCTGAAGTTCCGAAATTACAGAATTTCCGAAGTGTAGTAGTGCCAAATTGCTGAAGTGCCAAAGTTGCCGAAGTTCCGAGGTGTCAAAGTGCCGAAGTTCCGAAGCACAGTATTGCTAAAACACTTACCCAGTGAAAGAAGAAGGTTACATTGTATACAATTTCAAATACAAAGTATACAAACATTGACAGGATTCAGCTGTAAGCATTTGCAACACATTCATATAAAATGTAAGTTACTTAGCCAGTCATGTAATGACAGGAATGAATAAGTAGATAACTCCCTAATTCCCACGGTTACTTAGTATTAGTAAATTATGCTCCTACTCGCTATACCGCGAGTAGGGACATGTCTATTAAACAGCAGCCTGTGTAAAAAAAATTGCCCCTCCCGGCCCCCACCCCTGAGCGGCGGGTGGGGGCCCTAAAGTAAAAAGGCGGTGGTTCATGGGCCCTAAATATAAATTGGGGGGGACCTAATGTATCCCCCCTGGCCCCCACCCCTGAGCGGTGGGTGGGGGCCCTAAATACAAATTGGGGGGGGACCTAATGTCCTCCCCCCTGTCCCCTACCCCTGAATAAAATTTACAATGTTACACTTATTACCTGAAATATATACATGTAACATATCCCCAGATAGCTTAGGTCTGAGCGCACGTTATTACTGAATGGC